CGTAATTTTCAAATTTACTATTTTTCGTGTTCCCCTTGACCAATTAATATCATTCAATTAATTAAGGTTTTAAGTTGAGATAAAAAAGTCAGTGTCACGAGCGGGATTCGAACCCACGACCTTCGGCTAGATACGCCGCTGCTCAACCACTTAAGCTATCATGACTTCGATCCACTCGGACACTTACTTCCCCTCTCAACCCCACCTTTTTCCCTCCTTAGTGAATTTAATGAATTAAAATGAAGTATACCTTCATTAAAGCTCTCCGTGGCCATTTCATTTGTCGCCGAGAATCAAATAGATTACACAGCATTTGAAAAATGGCAAAAAGGAGGGAAAAAGGTGGGGTTGAGATGGGAAGTTAGTGTCCGAGTGGATCGAATTCTCGAGAGTTCAAGTGGTAGAGTAGCGGCGTATCAAGCCGGAGGTCGTGGGTTCGAATCCCGCTCGTGACACTGACTTTTTTATCTCAACTTATAACCTTAATTAATTGAATGTATTTTTCAAATTTTGCCGGTATTCCTGCGGAACACTTTGTCTAATACGAGACGAATTTTTCGTATATTTCTGGCCTGATAAACGTAAAAATGATTGATCATTATGGTTTAATGCATTTATTTACACCATCATGAGGATTGTAAACAATACAAAATTATTTAATTTATATTATTTTAATTATATTATTGAACGAGTTTAAATATGTTACTCACGTTATTTTTTGTTTTTATTTTTTATTCGCCCCTTTTGTTTTTTATACGTTAATTTTATTTTAAAAAAATTAAAGGTTACTTCTTGTATTACCTTTTCGACTGAGCCGTTTCTATTAAACAACCCCTTTGAGTTCAAACAAGGGATAACAGAGTGGAAAAGAGGGGCCGAGACAGGGTTTTTAACATTATCCAATTAATAACCCAACTCCCGTAACCCCCGTTGGCTTTAAAACGGTCAGAAAGTAACGGAAAATACGCCCAGGATCACTTGTTGATAGTGTGCAACAAGTTGGGTAGAACGTACCGTAATTGTTGCCAAGGTGAAGACCACCAGATCGATAATCACTGGAAACAGTCAAAAGGGTAGTTTCCCTATATCAAGACGGAGAGTGTAATATGTATTTATTTTATATATTAAATCTATTTAATATCTATTCACTAGTTTTCGTGGTCCGCTTGACCAATTAATATCTTTCAATTAATTATGGTTTTTAGTTGAGATAAAAAAGGCAGTGTCACGAGCGGGATTCGAACTCACGACCTTCGGCTAGATACGCCGCTTCTCTACCACCTGAGCTATGGTGACTTCGATCCACTCCGACACTAACTTGCATTTATGAACACATCATTTATTTATTATCACATTTATCAACTACAATTCACTAGTTTTCGTGGTCATAGAAAAATGGCAAAAAGGAGGGAAAATTCAAAAGGTGGGGTTGAGATGGGAAGTTAGTGCCCGAATGGATCGAAGTCACCATAGCTCAGGTGGTAGAGAAGCGGCGTATCTAGCCGAAGGTCGTGGGTTCGAATCTCGCTCGTGACACTGCCTTTTTTATCACAACTAAAAAACCATATTTAATATCTATGCATATGTGAATTAAGTATTTATGAGAACGTAGCACCTGTGACTGCAAAACACTAATTTTGATTTTGTTGCTCCACTCGAGGTAAAGGCAAAAGCGTATGGAATTGTATGGAAGCCCTGGCAGAAGAGAGACCAATGGCCGACCGTCGCATAGGTCCATTCATGGGCGTTCGGGACACAGAGGCAATGAGAAAGTGGACATGTTGGCCAAAAAAAAGGTGATATATCCAATATCTTGCAACAAAAAATGGTTCTTCTAAAACTAATCTTTAACGAGTCCAAAACCGCAATCCGCAACACTTACGAAGGAATTATTGGAAGGAAACCTCAACGGAACCAGGATTCTGACAGAGCACTGGTTTTACTTAGTTTTTCGAGTCAAGCCACTTAACTGAAGCCCAAGTGTAAATTTTCGTTTCAACACGGCAAAATTCAATGTAAATTGTAACTTAGCTTAATTAAAATCGCATGCGGGTAGGTTGATATGAACCGCGGCTTTTTGTAAAATTAAAATCCTCCCCTTAACTCGTATTCCACGTATATAATTACATATTTAAAGACATATTAATAATTAGTCTTTTGTAAAAACAAAAACCATTAGATCCGGTAAGCCGCTCGGGAAATTGTTTGGAATTGTTTTCTCTCTTGCTTCTTTATTACATTTCTAACTTATCCAGTTTCAAAGTATGTAATTCAGTTTTAAAACGTACGAAACTTCCGAGGTTTTTTTTTAAATAATCGATTTACTTATTGAAACTTAACTTATTAAAAAAAATTAAAAACTTATTAAAAAACTTACTTATTAAAATAAACTTATCCAATCATTAAATTTACAATGATTATATAAAACTAGTTAAAATTAGGTTTTACCAGCCTTGAGGAATATCGAGTATTCTGGGGTGAGTGCGTGATGTCTGGAGCTAATTTATTAGCAGGAATGGAGTAAGTTCGACCTCGCCCCGAAGAATATGGAGCACTGGGAAAGTGAATGTGACCAGTGTTCTATATTTCTATTGGGTGTTGTGTTTAAGGTTGATTTATTAGAAAAAAAAAGTTATTTACTCAATTAATTACACAATTTTTTCGAAATGTTGTTGAGTATTTGTCGCTTGTTTGACGATGTTTTACGTTCTCCTTATTATCATTAACCTTGTAAATGATTAGTATTAGTTTCAAAGTCCTGATGAAGAGGATATATAACACGAATACTAAATAATGGGACTACCAATAAATGTGTTTCTATTCTTTAAATTGGGCATTATCCCTGATTTTTTAACGTATAACATCATAATAATAAAAATTCAGAAATCGTGAGATGCGGTCTGGTGTGATGTAGGTTTCAGAAAAACATTTTCTTTATCGTGCCAACGTTTCGATCTTTAAAGAGATCATCTCCAGGGCTTCAGGGCTTCTTTGAATGAGTAGAAATAGTTTGATTGAATATAAAAAATATATTTTCCATTGAATAAATTTACTTTTCCACATCCTAAATGTATTTGTTAAATGTAAACAATGTTTGTAAATCCCAGGCCCTGAAGATGATCTCAATAAAGATCGAAACGTTCGCACGATAAAGAAAAGCTTTTCTGAAACCTACATCACACCAGACCGCATCTCATGATTTCTGAATAATTATAGATTAACGGTCACTAATCACCACACATAAAGTTTAAGGGCCAACAAACAATAGAAGTCATCGCCGGCTTTCTGTGTGTTTTGTACTCTTCTTCCTGGGCTTTCAGTATTTTTCAACCTGCGTCAATTTGAGCGTGTCGATCTGTTATTGACTCTCTGCTTTTATATGAAAACGAAGTCGTTATCCTAAAATGCCAGCTTTTTACTTGTACTTTAAGTTTCAAAAACCAGCCCAGAGTCACATTGGGATGGACTCGTGGTGGCTTGTGGTGACGCCCCTGGCGGGAACTTAGACAGAGGCTATCTTCTATCTGGGACCTTCCGTGAAGCTTGCGCATGGCCAGCGTATTACCCCCCGTTCCTCACGGGAGACGTTGCNCGATAAAGAAAATGTTTTTCTGAAACCTACATCACACCAGACCGCATCTCACGATTTCTGAATAATTATCGATTAACGGTCACTAATCACCACACATTATAATAAAAGTTGATATAATAATATAATCGAAATAATTTTTAGGATTTAACTGTTTCAATAAATAAATATAATAATGTATATCATATATGGTAATGTTTGATATACTTCTGGGAAAGATCTGAATATATTGTATAATTTTAAAGGGGATTTATTTTTTTCCCTATTTCCTAGTTGTTACAGGGAATTTGAACATTATACAGTTATTAAATTAATTAAGGTTTTTAGTTGAGATTAAAAAGTCAGTGTCACGAGCGGGATTCGAACCCTCGACCTTCGGCTTGATACGCCGCTACTCTACCACTTGAGCTATCGTGACTTCGATCCACTCGGGCACCAACTTCCCATCTCAACCCCACCTTTTGAATTTTCCCTCCTTAGTGAATTTAATGAATTAAAATGAAATGTACTTCACTAAAGCTCTCCATGGCCATTTCTTCTGACGCGGAAAATCAAATAGATTACACGACATTTAAAAAATGGCAAAAAGGTGGGGTTGAGATGGGAAGTTAGTGTCCGAGTGGATCGAGGTCACGATAGCTCAAGTGGTTGAGCAGCGGCGTATTTAGCCGAAGATTGTGGGTTCGAATCCCGCTCGTGACACTGACTTTTTTATCTCAACTAAAATCCGTAATTAATTGAACGATATTAACTGGTCAAGCGGACCACGAAAAATATTGCATTATTATACAGTTAGTTATTTGAAGTTTACAAGTAATCTTTCGTTTTAATGAAAAAGGCTTGCCATTGTTAAATCAACATTCGAAGAGAACGTTAACATTGTTTTGTTAATTAAATAAAATAACTATGTTTGTGTAAATGTTTAGATGTTTAAACTCAAAACTACGTTTTATTTCTTTTTGGTGATGGCAAACATTATCATATAACTAATTGGATGAGAAGAAAGAGGGTACAGTCGAGTTTATATTTTTAAAAAGGCGGGTTAAAAGATAAAATAAAAATAAATAAAGCTGGAAAATGTGTTTTTCCTATGAAAATATACATACAATTACGATACGTAAATATTGATTAACAAGAAACAGGAAAGTTATTTTGCCATCAACCTTTCCTGTTGTAAGGTTAATGACAAGTAGAAAATAGAGCGACCCGACAAAGCGACCCTTTTGGAATTTTTCCCCCTTGCCCTCTTAATCATTAATTTCAGTCATGATTTCAACTGCGAAGAATTGAAATAATCGACGACAAATTTAATAATTCATTTAGGAACCCCGCCTGAAGGGAATTTTATATTTAAATCGAAAGTGACTTTTTGATTTGTTCATTTTTTTAAACAGGAAAAAATCTTTCTTACCGGTCCCTTTGTTGGCGAATGTGAAGGATCGTATCCTCAGGCTGTCCTCGTCTTCATCAGGATCGCATATCTGCTGGGGCGGCACGTCCAGGAAAGCCGTGGACTTCCTGTGTGTCGTCGACCTCCTCGAGGAGCCCTTCCTGCTCAGGCTTCCCACTACTTCGTCGCTCCCTGCAAAAAAAGAATACGCCCGTTCAAAATGGGTAAATTATGTTTTATCAACTCCAAATTTAGAACTAACGATCGTATTTCAACATCATCCCGCTTTTCCGAGAGACAAGTAATTCCCTGACCCTCTTGAGGGTCGTCACCCCACGATGTAAAAATATATATAGACGCTTCGTGGAAAACCAGAAAATCAAGAACTATTTTATTTATTTTATCTAGAGAAGGATTTCTAGAAATAGACAATTGTTTTGGCATAATAATTATTATTTTATGGGAGAAATATCTAGGAGGATATACAATATATCAATATTTTCCTACACAGCATTTTTTCTAAAGCATTATATTCTTTAATAAAAATGCTTATAAATGTATGAATTTTACCATGACTAGTCATTATCGACCAATATTCAGAAGGGTAAATTTTAAAGTTGAAAGTTGGTTTTGGTCTCCTAGTAGGTGAATACGCTGAACTGGCAAAATAGAGCAGTATGGTTTTGGTATAATTTCAATTTTTAAAAGGCACACCAGAGGTTCCTCATTAGTCTTCTCGTCAGTAAACAAACCCCGGTTTTGGATTTATATAACCTTATGAAAAATCAGTTCGAATTTGAGCTTTAATACACCCACCAATTTAATTTACAAAAGATTGTTAATTCAGATTCTGTTTTTTTTTTTTTTTCAAATTATTTTATGCTATGCTACTTATTACTTCTAGCACTTATGTTTTAAGACTTTCACGCAGAAATGCTGTCACTCCCCGATGTGATGACCGATAGGTCTACACCTCAGAGGAGTTCACGTGCCCAGTCGTTAGTATATCCCAACAGAGGTTAGGTTCCGACGGGGACTTTCGGCAGCTAGGTCATTTCAGACCCCCACGCATGCAAAATATAATCTAGCTAAAACTAACTAACTTTTACAGTCGCGCAAATAAATACATTCATATTTATCTACCACTCATTCTGATTAGTCGGTGACGCATGACAAGCTTCTATTAAGTGGATGGGTATTTTTTTGCGGGGTGGGAGAGTTGCGTGAAAAAAGGCCAGGGGTGACGGTAAGCATCAAATCCACGACCAATTTATGGATTTATAATGTTTATGCAATGTTATGTAAGCTGAGATGAAAATTTAGCGTCATGAGTGGGTCTCCAATCCATGACCTTCAGCTCAATATGCCGCTCCTCATCTACTTGAACACCCGTGAATTTGACAGTTTTTACATCGTAGTCAATTTAAATCGATCAATAAAATTTTCATCCAAAACCGCATTTTTACAGCAAAAAAATAAAAAAAAGCTTATTTCCGTATTCATAAGTCAGTCTTACATCCAGGTTTATATAATCCGATATAATTATTTTGAAACCCCACTTTTTAGTTATTTTTTGTAAAAGTAATGAATTAAATATATACATTGTTAACTGGCATATTTCATCAAACATAAAAGTAGTTCAACGTATTTTCCTCCAGCTGGAGGTGAATGCTGTACGAGTAAAAGCCGTTGGAGCTTTTAATTTAGTACCGGCTAATTTATAAACCGGGATAATGTTCTTTATTATATCCAGGATGGTATAAATCCTCTTTATTTCAAATGATGATTTACCTCATACGGATTTTTTTAAATAACTCAGCAAAATGTTATAAACCTCGTATTAAAGAAAACCACCCCACTTTAAAGTTGACCAATATCACGATTTATTCAATCATAATTAACTCAGGGTTCACTATTATATATATAATGTAGAAAATTATTCAGAAATCGTGAGATGCGGTCTGGTGTGATGTAGGTTTCAGAAAAACATTTTATTTATAGTGCCAACGTTTCGATCTTTATTGAGATCATCTTCAGGGCCTTCAGGGCTGTTTATCTCACTGGCACTCTCAACACGACACGCAAGAATGGCACAAGTACACAGAAGACAAACACTTTGAGTGAGTAGAAATACTTTGATTGAATATAAAAAATATATTTTGCATTGTATAAATTCACTTTTCCACATCCTACATGTATTTGTTAAATGTAAACAATGTTTGTAAATCCCAAGAGAGGAGATGATCTCAATAAAGATCGAAACGTTCGCACGATAAAGAAAAGCTTTTCTGAAACCTACATCACACCAGACCGCATCTCATGATTTCTGAATAATTATAGATTAACGGTCACTAATCACCACACATAAAGTTTAAGGGCCAACAAACAATAGAAGTCATCGCCGGCTTTCTGTGTGTTTTGTACTCTTCTTCCTGGGCTTTCAGTATTTTTCAACCTGCGTCAATTTGAGCGTGTCGATCTGTTATTGACTCTCTGCTTTTATATGAAAACGAAGTCGTTATCCTAAAATGCCAGCTTTTTACTTGTACTTTAAGTTTCAAAAACCAGCCCAGAGTCACATTGGGATGGACTCGTGGTGGCTTGTGGTGACGCCCCTGGCGGGAACTTAGACAGAGGCTATCTTCTATCTGGGACCTTCCGTGAAGCTTGCGCATGGCCAGCGTATTACCCCCCGTTCCTCACGGGAGACGTTGCGACCGGACGACAGCATGTAAGCGTTGAGGACGTCATGATCATGCTACAGTCCCTGGGTGCGTGAGTAAGCGATTGGAAAAGGGTAGTGCAATCGGCGGTCTTTGACTCGAGTATGCTTTGCATTGTTGTGCGTATGACCGGCGTGGTACCCTTGGGGAAGCGAAGGATTGGACCACCTAGGCTAGACCTATGGCGTCCCTCGATTACGTGCAGCAGGTGTAGGCTGAGCTCGATAAGAGACCTTTGACCGTAGACAGTGGTCATCTAGGGGGTGGGTAGTAATCCCACTTTATAATCCGAAACCGCTATCGGGGCGTTTCCGAAAGTTTCTACGCTGGAGGAGCCTCTACACTCAGAGAGATAGAGTCGCCTTCTCTATCTAGGGAGTACGCGAGGGGGGACGGGCTGATGTATTTCGGCCCGTTAGCCCCTCGCGTGCGGCGTACGACCCGACGCACAATGTGGGCCCGACCATTCGGAGTGGACAAGCGGAGAGCGTGGCTACTGACCCTTAGGGGCCGGGACACCACTACACCAATGCTGCGGCGGTAACATTTTTCCGTCGTATGCAGAAGTGCGTCAGCTCTCATCTTGAGAATCAAAACGTCCGATAAGGCCGAATAGGCTAGGTGCGGACGTTAAAGATCCTCTTGTCTTGTTGACGATGAGTAATCGGGAACCAAACTGTACCTTAAGTAGTTAACTACAGAATAGACACAAAGAATACAATACATATTATATGAATATCACAACATTCATTCATATACAGCTTCCGGGAAAAGGATCAACCTATCGGGCAGTGTGCTTGGTCTCATCCTATATTCCTCAGAGTTCAGGCACCTGATACCATCCTTGCACAAGACAACTATACTATTCTCCTACTTCGATCCAATAGTTCAGATCGTGAATATCAGATTGATGTAAAATATGAAGATTGATTAAAGCAAGTCAGTTTTACACTTCAAATTATCAACTTATCAGTAGAGTAGTCCGAAACGTTGTTTAAAGTATGTCGTTTTAGTCTTGTGTGTTTTTGGTTCCAGATTAGGCTTGAGTCTAGATGGAATCCAAGGTAGCGGACGCAGTATGTTTTCGGGATGGGTGTATTATTGAGAAATATTGTATGAGGGGTTTTACTTCGAAGGAATGAGACGTGCATGCTTTTGCTTTCATAAAGCTTTATACTACAGTGTTTACTCTATTCGACTATTTGCAAGACATGTACATGGAACTCTTCCTAAGCAACGAGACCGGATCAGAGGATAGAAAAGCTGTCGGCAAAGTATGCAAGGATGGTGGAGAGGGGAGTTGGGATATCGGACTAGTACCTATCCCCAAATCTAAGTGCTTTATCTCGCGATCCACCTAGACCCGGTCCTAACTTGGAATTAGTAAGTGGCTTACTAACTAAGACAAAACAGATGATGTGATCTTCTCTAGAAACATATCGGACGACAATCCACTATATCGAATAAAAACATTCAATTACTTCATTTTTTTATTTTTTTTAGGTCATTTTTCCCAACAAAACCGAAATTCATTTAGTTTAAAAGTAGTATGTATTAAGAGAGAGGTGAAATTTTAAACTGGTACACCAAGGGAAAGTGAAAACTTTAAATATGTAAATATTGTATGCACTTTACATCAATGAATTAAGTAAGTGGTTACAATCTACAAAACGCTATTACAACCAATTAGGACGTGCGTAAATCTTGCAATTTTCAACGTTCGAAAATCTTTTTTATCCTAAAATTATTTACTCAAAAATTCACCAGTTTTCACAGTTCCCTCTCATCACTTCAGTAGTCTTTCCCAAGACTTGTCCAACATGACAAAGTACCGTTCAATTAATTAAGGTTTTTTTTAAAGTTGAGATAAAAAGTCAGTGTCACGAGCCGGATTCGAACCCACGACCTTCGGCTTGATACGCCGCTACTCTACCACCTTAATTAATTGAATGATATTAATTGGTCAAGCGGACAACGAAAAAATAGTGAATTTAATGATAAAGTATTTTTATGTTTCACTTTTGAAAAAATAAAATTAATAGCGAACAAACATTGAATATGAATTGTAGTTTAATAAAACGAATCAGTTTGACAAACGACAAGGACAGGCGGACAGAGATGATCAGCTCAGAATAAATTGCCCGTGTTGAAAATATGTCAAACCATGGTTGAAATGTCAGAGAATGACAAAATGTACAAAGCAACAATTTTTAATAGGAAATATCGTAACATTTTTATAGAAGTTAAATTCACTATTTTCGTGGTCCGCTTGACCAATTAATACTTTACAATTAATTAAGGTTTTTAGTCGAGATGAAAAAAAGCTAATGGCACGAGAGGGATTCGAACCCACGACCTTCGGCTAGGTACGCCGCTGCTCTACCACCTGAACTATCTTTATCTCGATCCACTCGGACACTAACTTCCCATCCCAACCCAATCTTATGAGTATTCCCTCCTTTTGCC